AATAAATAATAAAAAAAAAAGAGACACGGTCCGGAGTGCTTAGAAGTTCAAACAAGTTAAATAAGGTGCTCTTCAGGGTAAAAGTTGTACCGAAGGGTAGATTTGGTTTGTAGTTAAAAGACAAGAAAGCTATGATGACACATGTTTTAAAAACACATTTACAAACACTCTTTGCAGGTACACAAAAATGTAAAGAAAAAACGAAAAGTCCAAGGCATACTTCTAGCTAAACGTTTTTAAAAAGCCTTTATTCAGATGTCTCCTTCATGTTGAAATTCCTAAAATCAAAGGCTTTCAGGTACTTTCATCGGTATGGCAATGTTCATTTAAAATAAGGATGTTTATTTTTTATGCGGCAGAAATCTGCTCACATCATGCTTTTAATCATTTCCGAACCAATTGAAATACAAAAGAATAGATAACACAAAAGAACAACCAATTCATAGTGGCCCCAACAGCTTTTCGTTATGGTATGCACCCGTAACATGTATCCGCATATTTATGATTTTAGAATCTCAACATGAAATATTGATTCCATTAGACTTGAATTTTTGCCAGAAATATTCCTTGGACATTTACTGTTTTAAAAAATTAAAATATGATTATTGAATACATGAAAATATGCATCTCCTTAACCGTCTCACCTGTTCAAAGAAGGCCAAACACATAACTGGAAATGATGTGTAGACGACGCTGTAGAGACCAATGAACCATGTCTCATATAGAGACTGCAAGAGAAGAATAGATGGTGGAGTTAATGCAGGATGATTATCTCTATATATATGAGTTCAGTTCATTATGTAACATTCAGTCTCATCTATGTAGAGCTAACCTGAGCACTGAAGCCGTTGAAGAAACCAAACCATATTTGCACCAGAGCAAAGCCACAGGTCTTAAACAAGAAGTAGCGCAAGAAGAAGGAAATGCGCCTGTAGGACCAGCGGCCGTGGACCAGGAGCAGCCGCTGCAGAAATCTGAACTGGGACAAAGCAAAGTCTGCGTTCTGCACGGCCTGACCCCCCTCCACTCCTGCAAGGCCCACGCCGACATGAGCCGCTGGGGATGGCAACAGTCGGAAAAGGCATTGAAAAAGAGGAAGAACATCAAAGCAGAAAGCACACAGGGACAAGTAGATCTATATAGTATTGTTTAGTTATACTGCATAATTTCAAACCAAAACTGTAATATTAATCCTGGTTAAAGTTTGGTATATTTTATAGAATCTTCTTTGAGCATACGTAAGTTTTGTGGTCTGCCAGAAGATTGCGGTCTTAAATTGACTTTTTATCCACTTTCAAGCGACGCTATTGTGAGTTTAACCTGACTTACTCTTGATCATGTTCACGTCATTGGCACCGTCCCCGATGGACATGGTGACGGAGCGGGTGTGTTTCCTGACCAATGAGACGATGTCAGCTTTCTGTCCGGGTGTCACGCGACAGCAGAGCACCGACTGACACTGCTCCGCCATCCTCATGAACGTAGCCCCCCACTCAGGCCTCTGGTCAAACTCTGCCTGGAGAACAACACCATCAAACAGCTCAGATTAGGTCATAGTTACTGTTGGGAAAATACTGAATATACTTTTCTAATATCAGTGTAGCGCATGATAACAAAGGCCCTACGTAGCTGTGTACGTAACCGGATGTATGATTACCGAGAAGAGCGTCAGGACACACGGTTTTAGGCATACGGTAGCTATGTAACAACGATCAACATGATGATTCAGCCCCTAGGCCTAGAGAGATAGGCATATGACTGTCATGTTTATTGCTTACGCAGGCCTTAGCTAATCCGAACTGTGGCTAGAATACTGCTTTGAACCGGTATTCTTCCATCTTGTGACCGTAACACCCTCTCTTGTATATAAGCATGTCAAGGACACTATTTTTTCCCATGCAGCTCTGTATGTGATGACTACTTCCATTCTTGCAAGGGTAATACATACATGTATCCTCATATTGAAGCTCAAGCCGGTGACGAGTGATATTTTTCTAACAGTAACTTCACAACAAATGTTGAACTGTAATGATGTAATTCTGTATCACATGACATCACATTTCTTGTTCGAGGTACAGTTGAATGAAAATTGTTCATCACTAAACCAAACTCTTACACTCAGAATTTTTAAGCATGTTTGAATTAATAAATATTTTAGTGTTAAATATGTTTTTTTCATAGTATATTATATATTTAGGCTCCTGTTCTTTGCCCCTTAAAATTTCCTTGAAGTACCTCACCGACATTTGTAATAATTAAATCAAGAGGTTAATTATTTAAACCATCGGCCTTGCAGTCTGCCATTGGACAGTTTAAAGCACAGCATTACATTTGGGGCTGCGGTTTATGTCCAGTAAATGACAGTTGAAAGCCATTACACGGGTACTTTAACAAAGAGTGAAAGAAAGGTTAATAGGCAATTTAAAAAAAAACAGCCAAATCTTCTGCAAACTATATGATGACAGTTATTCATCATATAAATGTGTAACCTATATCCTGTATGTCCAGTGTTTACCAGCTCAGGTCCAGTGAGCACCAAAGCAGTCTTCGCTTCAGCCGTCTGCTTGTCTACAGCCCACAGCTCTGTCTGCCTGGCCTTGAAGAAAGTGACCCCTGGGTCTGGGGACTGGAGTATCTGTCTGCAGGGGCAAAAACATACAAAGATCAATGAGCTGGTGTGAGTGTGTGCATGTGTGTGTTTGTTAGTCTCTGCTAACCTGAGCTCCTGCCATTCCAGTAATCTGGTATCAGGATCCAGTAACTTGCAAGAATATCCGATATTCACTGCAGTCTCTAGAAGAACGAAGGGGCAGGAAAGACAGAAACCACAGTGAGACATGAAGCGAAAAAGCGGTGCCACTCCAAATGATGCTACAGTAAGACACCATACCTTTTTTGTCCCCAGTGAGTACCCATACTTTAAGTCCAGCCTGTTGAAGCAGAGCAATGGTCTCAGGAACGCCTTCTTGAAGTCTGTCCTCTATCGCTGTCACCCCAATAAGCTACGAACCATAAGAGTGCAAATTATCTTTAAGCAATCCTGAAGGATATTGGCTTTTTTACGTAGCAAGAAAAGGATAAAAACAAATACTATAAGGTTGATAACATGAACAATGCACATGATTTGCTTTGAAAAGTAAAGTGTCTGCAGTAATAGGCTCTAACGACATCATTTGTATGTGGTTAAACGCTAGCAATCCTCTTATTTGCCTATTCTGCGATGTTTTTACTGTCACACTAACACAGAAACAGTTGGACAGTGTCAATGTGTTGCTATGGAAACAGAATGTTGAGAGCAACTCTTGCTTGATTTTGGTCTTTGCAGAACAATTTACATGCACAAAAACCTAAAAGCACCCGACAGGAAAGGGAAAACCCAAACAAGAATAATAGGGCCTCTTTTTGGGAATTCTGGGAAAAGTAAAAGGGAAGAAATAAATAATGGCAGGCTTGATTTAAAGATATCCTGTGACATGAAGATGGAATATCCCACCGAGGAGGAGCCCACCTGCAGATCTATCTCCATCTGATCATAAAGCTTTTCCAGCAGTGCGTCGCGGTCAGAGGTAACCATGGTTGCAGATTGATCCAGAGTTTTACTCCACTGCTCCCATGATGCCTCGGGAACAGATCGAACCGCAACACACAAAGTCCTCAGACAGGCCTGGGAAAACAACTGACAGGAGACGAGTTCACACGTTATTACAGGTTCCAGAGATGGCAAAAGTACACACATCCTTTACTCAAGTAGAAGTACAGATACTTGTGTTTCAAAAGTAGAAGTACTGACTAAACTTCTTTACTCAAGTAAAAGTAAAGAAGTAATGTACTAAGTAAAAAGTACCCATAACTAGCAGCTGTTTTAAAGAGTAACTGACCTCCCTTTATATTAATAGAACAATAATGTCATTGTTAGCTAATGAATGTTTCCATGCTGAACAACGGCAACATGACAACGTTTCTCATTGGTCCCTCTTCTTTAGAGAAGACCAGGAAATGATGGATCGTGTTCAAATCAATAGGCACGCAATGACTCTAAATAATAATGATCACGCCACCAAACACACATTCAGACTAAAGGAACAAACCTGCGTTGAAAATGTAAGAATTAGAAAGTGCAGGTATTTGTGTTCAAAATGTAAGAAGTAAAAGTAAAAGTCGTACAGACTGAGACTGCCAAGGCACGACAGGGGATAGGTACTGCATACCAGACAAAATAAGTAGTGGAGTAAAGTACCGATACCAGACAAAAGTACTTAAGTACAGTAACAAAGTATTTGTACTCCACTACTTCCCACCCCTGCAGGCTGTATATTATTCACTGAGTGACACGTCAGGCAGCATTTAAGAATTGACAAAGGAAACATGAGATCAACCCTTGGGTCTTGGCAGGAATGCTTTAACCCTCAGCTGGGCCTGATAAATTCCTCAAACTCTATTGATCAAGAACTTTGAACTACTTTGAGTCTGAGATGATCCATGCAGTGTGTCAAAGCTAATAGAATTGATGGAAGATATTGTGCCTTCAGTACAATGTGACCCATACAGATAATCATACAAAAGACAATCTAAACATCGATTTGTTTGACAAATGACTATATTTGGATCAACACCTTGCACATTTTAAATACATTTGTAGAGACTTTCCAGAAGCATAGTCAAAAACACCCTAATGACTTCATTTTCTGACTTTTCCTTTAGCCCATCTATAGTTTCTAGTATTAATTGGTTCTCATAACTGTGTCATTGTATTTTTGTTTGTTTTATTTGTATATCACTTGTCTCCTAAATGATTGTATTTAAATTAGCTTTTATAAACGGTTCCCTGTTGCTTACTCTTGATTTTAATGTTTTGTGTAAAGCACAGATTTGAGTTTTTGTTGAAATATGAGTGAACTTGACATTTATTTTATAAGGTCCGTGAAATGTAGCACATTAATATCACCCTGACATATAACTTTGATTCTCTGACTTTTCATACAGCACTACCACAAGGAACACCTCACGATGTTAGCGTATTGAGATATTCAACAAATGTTAACATGCTTAGTACAGTGCCAAGATTGTGAACTCTTTAATTTTGTAACTTCTTAATATTGCCATGGAGACCAAAGATACTAACACAGTGTCATAAAAATAGTAGTAGGCTCAATAACAGTAAACATTTAGTAGAAACTCCAGTTCACCTCCAGGGCTAGTTCAGTCCTTTCCTGATGCAGACAGTCCTTCTGCAGTCTCTCCAGGATCACTAGGTCGGCCCCTTTACAGAACAGCTTTAACCCACCCTCAGGCTCCCGCACTGAGAGAAAACAAATAAAAACAGTATGTATAATTTATTTTAAAAAGAAGTTGAACTTGTAAATTATAAAAGATTGTAAGATTGAAGTGTGTATTACGAGTGCTGCTCTCACCAAGCACTGACATACGTCTTCTGTGACTGGTGAAGTCCAGCAGAGCGAGCAGCTGATACTTGCGAGTGACACCCAGCTCTGAGACAACGATAAAGTCTCGTGTCCTGGAGAGAAAGACCCAGCCCAGCTCCCTCGCTGCCCCAACGAGAGCTTCCTCATCCGGGGACGCAGCCTGGTAAACTGGAGCCTCTGGAGGAACACACAAGGTGGATGTAAACACGATGTCTGCAAGGAATATTATGTTATTATCAGGTCAAACCAGCGATGGGGATGTAGAATCAATATGAGCATCCTTTCAAGTTCTTATTTCAACATTTGAAAAGCAGTGCCTCGAAGTTCACATACAGGTTCTTTTGGTTTTAATTGTAGCACCCCCATCAGGTCAATACAAAATAAACAGTGGAAACATGAATCACACGCTGAGAATCTCATCAAATAATAAACCAGCGCTGTCTGAGGTATAACCTGAGGTTTAGCACTTTTTCTCAGATGTAGGATGAGAACTGAGCTACTTTGATCTGGATCACAGTAAAAACTGATACTTTCACACAGAAACAACCTTCTTTCCACTCGGCCATGACAGTGTGGCAGACAGACAGCGCTCTGAGGAACTGGCAGCTGATTGGACACTGCTGTCCTCTGAGCTTCTGCACCAGGCTGGGAGCCGACATGAACAAACCCCCGCAGGAGAAGGGATTCCAGCTCAGGTCCATGGGCTGCAGACATACAGGAGGGAGATGGTGCATCCAAGGTTAATCTGCACTGACGTTATTAGTCGACAAGCCTTATTATTCTTATCTTATTATTCATTTTTTCTTATATCTCTATTACTTATACTGAGTAGGTTATCTGTTGTGTGAACTTTTGGGTTATTATATTTATTCTCTTGCCTATTTGACATTACATACAGTATGCTATATGTGTGCCGATACGTTACTATATTTGACCTGAATAGGCTTTCTTGTTTTCTGTGTATTTTGTGTTGTGTGCTATATTGTTGAAGCAACTTTGAGCTGCAACCTGTAAACAAAGCTTAATATTATACAGTGTTGCAACTGTGGCTAACATGAAGACAGTCTCATGGCCAAATGGTTACAGAAATGATGATGGAAAAACAGGCACTTAAACAACAGAAGATATACTACAAAGGAGGAAAGAACATGCCATCTTTGCAGCGGGTTGAAATACAAAAGAAAGAAAACAAGACCCAGATTTGAGAGCAGTGCTATGGTACCTCTGTGTCCTCTGCCTTGCCTGATGCATCACCTGTGAAAGAAGATCATTTTATTTTATTTATTGACCAACAAAAAGCATTTTGAATAAATAATGACGGCTGAACCAGGAAGTGGCTCGTACATATGGTTTGATATGATTCTAACTAGTTTTGTTTTCACTGAGCAGAGTCGGGGTTAACCATTCATTAGAGGGAGTCGCTGTTTGTTCGATGAGAGCATGGTTAGTGTCTCCTGTTGGGTCTCTTGAGGAAGCCTTTGCTCCACTGAAAGTCAGCGAGGGAACTTGTCTCTGGGGTCATTATCAAACTCTGTTACCTGAATTGTTAAGGAAGCAAATTACTTTGTCAAATAACAGGGTGCAATCTTCTCTAAACATGAATTTGGACAAAGACTGGATTTTTTAAAATATGAATAGTGTGTTATTATTGTGTCATCTTAAAGATGAGTTAGTGTGAACAAGTAATTACACTATGGATAGGGGTGGTCACCTTCTGTCCTTTTTTCTGAGATTTTATTCAACTATTGTTCACTTGGTTCTTTGCAAGGACATCTGATTAATATTATTAATGAGTTCTAATGTGAAGCTGTTTTCAAAATGGGAGAAATAATTATGATATTTGACTTTAGAGTCAACATGACTACTGCACTCCTGTGACAAGGTTGGCATGTACAATTCATCTTTCAAATCATTTTATGTTTTAGTTCAAAAGTCTGTGAGTGGTTTGAATTTTAATTTCGAGCTAGCCATGCAGCGTAAGGTCAAATATATGCTTTGTTTTTGTAATAAGTAAAAGTGCTGGAGTTGGGGTTGATGTTATCTTCCAACAGATATGATAATTTATTAGTAAATAATG